TCTGTCCGTCTGTCTGTCCGTCTGTCTGTCGGTCTGTCGGTGTGTGTTGCTATCGATCAGGCGGTGGAAGAACTAGGGGAGAAGAACTGGAGGGAAGTCGCCGACCACGTGCGCACGCGCAATCATATCCAATGCCAGCAAAGATGGAAAAAGGCACTTAGGTACGCCGTTTCCCCCCCCCCCCCCTTGGTGATGTGAGAGCCTGGTCCGGTGAGAACCCGGCGTGCTCCGTCCCGGCTTTGTAGGGATGCGAGGTCAATGGTCCAACGACTACGGCATGCACGACTATGAACACACACCCCCCTCCCGATTTCTCCAGCAAAGCGTGTTGCTTGCCTAACCTTGCGGGTTACAGCGGTACTTCGGTGTCGCCTCCGCCGATCCGTCATCGTAGCAGCTTATTTAGCGCGATATTTGATATTTGCGGCTGTCGTTCTTCTCTCTTTGTGTGTGGGCCCATGTGTCACCCCTCTGTTGTCTACTGTACAAGCTCTCTATCTACTCCTCTACGACATCTGACGAGCCAAACTGCTGTACACACCGCCCCCACGTGCACGCGCGCGAAATAGGCCGGGCCTGGTGAAGGGCGCCTGGGGGGTCGAGGAGGACAAGAAGCTCGTCATGCTCATTGAACAGGGCTTCAGCAACTGGAGTGAGCTAGCCTCCAACACAGGCCGAACAGCCAAGCAGGTGATTTTCAGCCCCCCCCCGCCCTCCTCTTTGCACACGACGGCGCCACAGCGTGTTTCGGAGGGCCTTAGAATGGCAATGAGGCACCTCCCATTTTTTTTAACTAAGCTACGTTAGGCGTTTCCCATTTCCCCCGATTTAGGCAGGGTATTACCGAGATGCCAACAATCAAGTTCGAGAGCTGATTGATCAAAGACAAAAAGACAAAGTAAAATGGTAGAGCTCAGTTGGAATTTCGTGTGAAATCCTAGGAGGAACATATTTCAACAAAACAAAACTAAGAATCAGAATATTTTTTTTTTCCCGACCAACAGAGTCTAGTTTGGTTTTTGGTTTTTCGATTTCGAGTTTTATACCTTCGTTAATACATGGCCTTCCCAAGCTGAATTCCCCGAAGCCGTTGCCAAAGGACGAACGGGTCACGGGATGAAGTTGCGCCGAGCAGTCCGACGAACGTGAATGAGCGTGATTTTGTTCTTGGCGAATCGGAAGGGAAGGAAATCGGCGGTGGAAAAGACTTCCAACACATTCCTTCCCACGATGGTATTATCTCGAACGGGTAAAACAGTCTTTCCTTGATCGTATGTTTATTTTCCAAGAGAGATGAGCTGAGCGAAGCCGCTTTGCTTCCTCTTGGCGTTGTCCGCTTTTTTTGTCTCTCGTAACTGTTTGTGTGTGTGCAGTGTCGAGAGCGGTGGTGTCATCACCTGGACCCAAGCGTTCGCCACAGCAGCTGGACTGCGGACGAGGACGCCTTGCTGCTCGCTGTCGAGGTATCGTACCGTTAGCTTTGATCGAGGTTAGTCCTAGGAGGGTTAGGATGCAATGACCGCTACATACAGTACTGGGCCCTCTATAGTGCAGGGGTGTGTCCAGAGGTTTACCTGCACTATTTAGGATCGAGGAATATATAGGTTTGAAATAGTTACCAGCTTAAGTCTGTGTCAGCAGATTTAACGGGCACCTGCACTATTCAGGATCGAGGAATATATAGGTTGTAGTATACCAGCTTAAATCTGTGTCGGCAGATTTCACCGGCACTATACCGGGCACCTGCACTATTCAGGATCGAAGAATATATAGCTTTTAGCACCAGGTTAAATCTGTGTCAGCAGATGTCACCGGCACCATACCGGGCAGCTGCACTATTCAACCTGCACTATAGAGGGCCCAGTATTGCACCAAGATGCTAAGCATCTGAGCCGACGCGGCTATTTTTTTTTGTTTCGGGCCAGAGTATGGCAGCTTTTTGTGTAGGGGTCCTGAACCGGGCTCACAAACATGGTGCTCGAGTTCTTGTGTCGCCATGTATAGTCGGGCGTGAAGTACTTAGCCACCAAGTGCGGACGCTAGTGCTGCGTGTGGCGAGCCAAGCCGTAGATGGATAGATGGATGGATGGCGTGGTGAGGAGGGTGTTCTCTTCGGCCGTTAGGTTCCCGCCAGCCGTGCACGGGGGTGAGGCAAACACGCGCCTAATGTTGCTGCGAAAAACTGGAAGGATGCCGAAGGAAGCCGGTCCTTGGCTACCACTTCCGAGTACATTTGTTGCCGTATGCATATGTACCTGAGTTGGACACCCAGGAAACGTGCTTTACATGTACGATGATAACTCCTCATATTGCGTCCCCAAGGCTGAAAATGACGAAGTAAGTGACGAAAACCCAACAATACACTTCAGTCACTGCGGAGACTTCGACACCCCCCCTTCTTCTGTGGTATTTTCTCCGACGGGTAGTGTTCTTTGATTGAATATATTCTAACCCCCCCCCCCCCCCCCCTATTGCTTTTTGTTGTCGACGTGTCGCTTGTCCCGATAATGGTGTGGTGCAGGCTCGCCTGGGAACGAAGTGGGCAGCGATTGCGAGAGAGATTCCCGGCCGAACGGAGCACGCGGTCAAAGGGAGGTTCAAGGCAAGAAAAGATGCTGCCGCCGCCGCGGCTGCTGCACAAACCCACCGGTGTTAAATTTGTTGTTCGTTCGGCTGGCTTGTGCAGTGTACAGTAGTGTGTTTCTGCTATGGACTTTTTTTGAAAATATGCACACTATCACAGAAAGACTACCCTTTTACGAGATAATACGACAGCAGCAGTCAACTGTTATTTTGTGACGTCACCGTTCTTGTCGCATTGCGAGCCTTGCGAGCAGGCTGTGAAGGTGTCCCCCGTCACGCCGCCCCCTTTCTCCCCTCTGTTTTCGGAGCGGGGTGCAAGGGTACAAGCTCTGTTTGACGAAATAGGGACCTTTCTAATTCAGACGTGGACATGTAGCATTGTACCGTTTCCATTGGCATTATACTGGAAGCATCCAAGTACATGCGAAGAATATCAGAAATAAAATAAACAATTTTTTTTTCTCTGATTTATTTTTTATTGTTAGTCTCCGTGTGCGTCTCGTGGTTCGTCGATGGCCAAATCGGCGCACGCCTTGTTTCGCGCCCCGTCCCACACATTTCGCGTCCCGTCCCACACAGACCCTTTCCCGGGAAAAACGCCTGGGCAAGGCAGGCTCGCAGCAGGGGGGGCGAATCAGCATAGGCCCGGTCCCGTGGGAGCCAGCAGCAGGACCAAATGTGCCAAATGTGAGGGGTGCGGGGGGGGGTGTGTGTGTACTCATAGTCGTGCATGCTGTAGTCGTTAGATCATTGGCCTCGCATCCCTACAAAGCCGGGACGGAGCACGCCGGGTTCTCACCGGACCAGGCTCTCACATCATCAAGCGCGAAGCGCCGTGAGGTATTCGGCGAGTCGCATGTGTGTGTGTGTGGGGGGGGTACTCATGTTGGACTTGCCTTGGTTGTTAGACCGTTGACGACGCGTCCTTGAGAGGATGGAGCATTCGTTTCCACAGGAACGACCACCGGTAACTACTGTAGGTTGCATGCCGAAAAATATCACACCCCCTGGGACGATTTTCGAAGCTCGATATCTCGGCTGGAAAAGCAGTGACGTGACGTGCCGAAAAATGGCGGCGATGGAGCCGTCTCGTCGAGAGCTTTCAGAAAACGTATACCGTGTATGACACAAGATAACGCACCCCCTTGGACCAATTTTCAAAGCTTGATTACGCCACGACGAAGAGGATGCATGAATGAAACAATACATTTTCGGAAGGCTCTCGACGAGACAGCTTCATTGCCACCGTTTTCGGCGCCGTGACTCCTTCTGCTGTTGAGAAATCGAGTTTTGAAAGTTGGTCCAGGGGGTGTGTTATCTTGTGTCAGTTACGGTACTTCAAGTTCGGCGTCCTCTTCGTCGTGGAGTAATGGAGCTTTGAAAATCAGTCCAGGGGGTGTGATATCTTATGCAACCGACGGTAATACTTTGCCAAAGGTGGTTCAACAGTGGGGTCGGCATGTGCTGCACTGCCCTCTCTGGAGAAAGCTCTCCTCTCCTGCACAGTAGTTGGAACCAAAAGAAAAATAACTGCGACTACCAGATGCTCAAGCTGTCCACGAGAATCAAGAAAGGGTGTGGTCCCGCAACACACTTTTAACATCTTCAGACCTCAACTGGAACCGCAAAATAATAAAATTATGCGAATATGAAAATGCTCAGGTTGGTCACGAGAGTTCAAGAAATAGTTTGTTTCCGAAGCACTGAACATCTTGATAATCTAGTTTGAACAAAATTCCGTGAATACCATCACGCTCAGGTTTGGCCCCGAGAATTTTTGAGGAATATGGTAGTTTGTTTCAGGAGCACACCTCATCATCATCATCACCAGCTCTCATTTCTACACCCAGGACGTGCAGTACCTATCCAATATTCTCGGCCACCGCCCCCCAACGGTACGTACCTCTTCTTTGCCGGAAGCAGGGGAAGGCGGACCGCATTACGCCGTTGACGGGCATGCTCCCGCGGGGGCCCCGCGTACCGGGAACAGCCCGCCCCTCCAGCATGGCGAGCGGCCCCGTGTCTGCGAAAGACCTCGCGCCGGCGGGCGGGAAGGGCGAACCTCCTCCCACCGAAAGTGCCGCCGTTGTTGCGGAGGCGAGGGTGCCCCGTGAACGCGCTCTCCACCGTCGGCAGCGGCACCAGCAACAACAACAGCAACAGCAACAGCACCAACAGCACCAGCAGGTGTGTATGTACACGGCAAGTGTTGGAAGGAGAGCAAACGTCGCTGTGTTAGCCGCCGGCCGTGTGTGGGTAGCTTGCACACCGGCAGTTACAGCAGCAGCAACAGGCGCGTGTGTATTTATGCCTCAAGTGTTCGAAGGAGACCAAAGTTGGCGTGTGTGGGTGTGTAGCGTACACGATGCGGCAGGAAAATTAGGGGTCACGGGCCATGAACGGTTCCGGCGGCGGCAAGTAGCGCGTGGACGACCAAAGTCTTGGCAGAACCGCGAGCGGAATTTATTGCTGCTGTCTGTCTTCATGTCGAAAGCCGTTCTCTCTTGACCTGTATGTGTCCGGCAAACTTGCCGGCCACAAGAGTTACACCAGGAAATCCACGCGGCTTCAGCCTCTCCTTGACGGGCGGTGGAAGGATCATCCTACTGCGGCTGTGCGTGCGGTTTTCCGTCCCATAATTGGCGGTAGTCCCACGGTTGTTTTTTGCTAAACTAGCTTTTCCGCTAAGGTGGTTTCGTCTCTCTTCCGTTCCGTGATAGAGAAGTTCGTCGGTAGAGGGAGGAAAAGGTGGAGGGAAGAACACTTCGGAAGCCTGTAGGGAGATGAGCCAGGTCAGTACGGTTCACACTGGGGACAGCGTCCTTATCACACTGCCAAAATGCTGTGCTATGTTTGTTCCCTCCTTCGCCGGCCGCAACGAAATCGGCTCAACGTTACCGGCCGCAGGGTGTCGGTGATATCCCGGAGCCCCCGAAGCTACCCCTGGGCCTTCCACTTCCCGTAAGCACGGCGGCAGCGGCAGCAGCGGCAGCGGCGGCAGCGGCTGTGGCTGCCACTGATACCTGTCCACCAGCCGATCAAGTAGCGGAGGCGGCGGCGGCGGCGGCGGCGGCCGTGGCGGCGGTGGAGGCGGGTGTTCCATGCCCCACGCCGCCTAGCAGAGGTATTCCGCCGCGTTTTTTTCTCTTGGGTTTGACGACAGTCCCGCGGGGGTTCCTTTTCCTTTCTTTTTTGTGGGGTGGGGGGTCCGCACGAGATGCGGTGGTTGGTGTGAACCTTTGTGCACGAGTTCTTCAAGTAAGCGAGGGAGAGACAAGTTTGCTTCGGGTTGCTGTTGCTGCTGTTGTTTTTGGGAGTGTTGTCAGGTACAATTTGCCAAGGGTTTCAGGGTGTCCCCCCCCCCCCCCCCCCCCGTGATATTGATAGGACAGGGAAAACAGTTTTGAGCAACCTTTGGTGAAGCTAGGAAGGAACGATTGGCCATCGGTGATCGGTCCTGTGGGAACAATATTCCGTCCTCTCGAGGACGCGTGGTCAATGGTCCAACAACCAAGGCATGCCAAATACGAGTACGCCCCCCCCCCCC